TATATCAGTGTATATATATATATATATATATATATATATATATATACACAGATTTACTTGCCAGATGATTTATATTTCTGTCTTTCCAGTGTATGCGAGACAGCATAGTGAGGTAGATGACACCACTTACAGTTATGGAATACAGTGCTGTTCTCTCTTCACCCCAGTCTGTTGACTGGACAGTGAAAGAGCAGCAGCGGACTGATGACATTGTCTCCCAACTCTCTCCCCCCTATCGGCATATTGCATGCAGCACACCTGATTGGCTCCCAGCCCTACCCCTCCCTCCTCCAGTGCTGCTGTATAGGGAACTGCTGGAGACTGATATGAAATCATCAGGTATTTTCTGTACTTGCTGAAAGGGTTCTGCAGCTACCACATCTAAGGACAGATACCCTGTAATATAGAATATTCTTGTTTTCGGATGTAGGCAGACCTTTAGCCAGGCGCTTAAGATTACCACAGACTTACTTGCGGGCCAATTTTTGACAGATCTGCACTTTTTTTTGTCTTGTTTTCCAAAAGCAACTACAGTATGTGTCTGAAATAATAGCCAATACATTATCTCTGCATTATATATATGGGACCTTTCCTTTGTATGAAAAAAACAATTAGACCTTTAATAAGCAACTACGTTGAAAAAGTTTGTCCATTTTGGATGGAATAAGTGAAGGCTTGAGCCCGTCTTCCCTATTCTCTAGGAACGGAAATGTCCCCAACCTCCAGCGCCACAGTGACACTGAGTGAGCCAGATTGAGAAGTTCTCAGTGCAGAGTTTTCACAAGTATTCCAACAGGACTGACGATGAAGGGTACTGGCCATGGACTGAGCTGCTACTTACCTTTGATATAGCTTTTCTTTGTGGATCTTTGATGTCTGTTAAAGGTTTTATATGCTTGTGGAAGTAAACAAGTCGCTAAACAGTTTTTGTGAGGGTGGCTCGCACTGGCTAAATGGGTGTAGTAATAATTATGTGGAGTTATTGCTGACACTGACTTGGTCTTGTTGGTGTGTACTAAGAAAAGGATCCTCACAACGCTCCTTAGATTACCCGTGCTTATTGTTGACCTTCAACCGGCAGATCAACCCATTCGTTACCATGGCACAAAGTTCTGTACATGCATTATTTATTTTTGAGTCTGAGTGTTAACATTGTGTCACACGTCATTAATGTCTAAACACTCCTACACTCCTGAATCATAGGCGTAGACATCAACGGTGAAATGGGACGCTTAGCTGGGTTTGACAACAGACAATTGTGACTGATTTATGGTCAATAAAGGCAATTGTAGTGTATAGTCATTTATTTAATTTTACTCACTGCTATACAGTAACACTTTTCCTCCAAAGCCGGGATGGACAACTCTGGCCCTCCAGCTGAGCTATAACTACAAATACCATCATGCCTGTGGCTGTCAGAGTCTTGAAATGCCTCAGGGGACTTGTAGTTCCACAACAGCTGGGGGGGGGGGTTATAAAGCTATGCAGATAGTGCTGAAACATTTATATAGGAGTAGATGGTGTTTCACAGACTTAGTGGCAGATTTATAAACTGTTCATGCAGCTCTTCACTGTGCAAACAAGATGCGCAGCACTGTATGTCCACTAGTCGGAGCCAAAGAGCATAGGAATTTATTATACTCCTTAGCTCCATCTAGTGGCTGTACAGTACTGCAAATCTCATTCGCACAGCGAGGAGCTGTGCATGCGGTTTATAAAACTGCCCCTTAAAGTAGTCTATTAAACAGAACTGATGGTTTACCTCCTCTGACCTTTCTTTCTGTAACTGGATGCAGTATAATGTGACTGTTTTTACCTTATCTAAATGAATATATTTTTCAAATACTACATATTAAAGGATATCATAGCCAAATCTTAATTTATCTTCAAGCTTCAGGGTAATATAGGTTTGTTCAGGAATCCTGACATCATTTACAAATGTCTGCAAACAAAATAAACATAATAATTAGAAAATGCCAAGATAAACAGTAAACATATAATGCTAAGACTGTTCAGGGGGGGGAAAAAAAAAGGACTAAAGGCTAGTTCACACCAGCCTCAGTGCGTTCTGGCCCGATTCTGGCTGGAACGCACCCGATCGCATTCCAGCCGGCTCACTTTGTTTTAGGACGGGAGGGGGCGTGGCGGAGCATTGAACTCAATGGCACTGCAGTCACGCCCTCGGTCTGCAAGGGAATGCGTGACACATCAGTGCCTGCGTTCCAATAAGGTGTAGCCAAAAATAGTGCATGCACTATTTTTCTGACTGAACCGGAACGCAGGCACTGATGTGCCACGCCTTCCTGTGCGGCCGATCGCATTGCAGCCAGAGGGCTGTGGTGCCGTTGAGTTCAATGCACCGCCACGCCCACTCGCGCCCCAAAACAAAGTGAGCCGGCCAGAATGCGAACCAGGCTGGTGTGAACTAGCCCTAAAGCTGGCCATACACCAGTACAATTTCATTAATAAAAACAAATTTTTGGAAAATTCCTTAGATTTTCTAATAGTTAAAAGGAAAACTATGAGGGGAGTGCTTTTCACTCACCTCATAGTTCTAGCCGACCTGTGACAGGTCGGCTCAGTAGATCGGGAGGTGAGCGAACACATACCGGTGTTCGCTCACCTCTCGATCCTGTCACGGCTCTCTGCCATGACAGGGGAGGGGCTGGATTCCCCCTCCCCGCTCCGCCAGCGCTGACTGGCGGAACGGACGGGGGAGGGGGCGAGTACAGATGGCTCTTCCTCTAGGTAGGCAGAACCAGCTGTCAGTCACGCAGCTGGGCGGATCCAGACATAATTGTCGGATCCTCTTCAGCTGCGGCGTCTTAGTATACCGCGAGCAGCAGCTTGCGGTATACTGCGGCGTCTCAGTATACCGCAAGCTACAGCTCGTGGTATAGTGAGCCTAGGGTGACGGGAGGACGCTAGTTTGTGTCCTCCCGTTACCCTAAGGATAACTATGGGGAAAAGCCTTAACCCCATAGTTCTCCTTTAATGAGTTTAAATTGAGGATTGTTTTCGAGTGTAGTGATGGGGGGGTAAACAAATAGAGCAGAATGGAAAAATGCCAAAATCGATTGTTAAAATCAAATGAAATTTCGAACAACATACATCAAGTTCTTGATGGGTTCATCAAATGTTCCGACATTTGATTCTGATTTTGGTACATAAATCTAGTATGGCCAAGGCTCATTTCAGATCTTGTCAGTATATAGAGCCTACCCCCCACCTTCCCACCCAACAGTTATTGGTTTGGATGGGGTGTTTCAGTATATTTAGTGTATAAAGTCACTCAGAAGGTAGGAACTTCAGTCAAAACATATTTTTCACAGAGCAGGTAAAGGTTAAGGATCTCTGTTAGGTTTTCATTGTTATATGTGCCCCCTGTTGTGAACATGTCCCTTCAATTCCTAGGAAAAAATAAATAAAACTAGAAAGGGCTTTAACCTCTTGCCGTCCGCCCGTAGTAGAAAAACGGACGGACGGCACTGCTGCATTGGCGGGTTGCCGTCGCCAGACGGCATTTTTTTTCTGCTCGCGTGCGCCCCCTAGCGGGCACGCACGGGCAGAAAAGACCCGACCA